CTGTCGGTGCACTCGGAGGCTACATGCCCATTGCCGTGGCACTCGAGGCAGGCGTGGAGATAATTACACTCTGCTCCAAGCTTGCAACGGCCGTGGTTGAAGTTGCGACAAATTTCCTGGGAGCGCTTGCGCGTTTTCCACCCGGTGGGGGCTTTGGACCTTGAGCCGCCAGCGCCGGGGGAGGACGTGGGGACGGCAATGCCCCCTTCGAGAAGGTGCGCGTCCTGAACGTGCCGAAATTCGTGGATTTCAGTGAGGATGTCGCGGCGCTGGCCGACGAAATTCTTGCAGCGTAGCTCGCGGTAGCAACCTTTGAAAGCGAAGTTGACGGCGTCCTCGAGAATTCGGAAGGCGTTAATCCACTGCCCGTGGGTGGTGATCCTCGAGACCACTTTGGGTTTTTTGATTTCCAGGTGTGTGTCACCGAGGACAAGCCACTGCGGTTCTTCCACCTCGATGGTGTAGGAGTTGGAGAGGATTGAGTCGAGGTCAACGAAGTGGTCAAGGAGGACGGGCTTCTAGAGGGATTCTGGGAGTGCGGGCGCGTGGAACGAGTTGAGGAGGTCTCGTGTGGTTTCTTTGGGATCCAGTGAGTGGTGCTCCATCTGAAGCTGGACGTATGATTAAATCAATTATAATGTAAGGGAGTGAGTGTAAAGGACAAGGTGTTGCGAGTCAAATTGAAGACACTCAACTGTAATCAGCTCGCACTTGGAGCCACACAAATTAGCTCCTCGGTTGGAAGCTCCATCAAAGCCTTAATAGCCTCCTGGAGACGGTGGTTCGACCTTCTTACGTCCGCTTCACTAGCTACCCATGCCCGCTCATGATCCCAGGACCGATGATTACCCCAATATAGGTCGGATCCGGAAAATCGGCCTCAATCTGACTTTTGTCCGGACTTTCCAGATTTTCCCACGCTTTCTGGGGCTGCAGAAATCGTTTTCTCGGCAAAGCGGCCACTTTTGGCTTTTTTTGCTTGAAATTTCTCCGAAATTTTGTCCGGACTTTGGGATCCGACCTATATTAGGGTAATCATCGGTCCTATGATCCCTGACAGTCGGACAGCGTGACTGAGTGGCCCAAATCCGTCATGACCACCGACTCCCTTGCCATCGGCTCCGGGCACTGTGTGCCGCGTGCTGCGCTCATTGGCGGAGATGGGTGAGCTCGAGTACTGCCAGTTATCCAGATCTCCGGCGGGCTCAGCGCACGACATGAATGGAAACCTCTAACATCAGAACAAATCACCTCTTTTGTCCTTTCCTGTCACGGTGGCCCACTGGCACACAGCATGAACAAAGAGGATGTCACCTCTGCACCACGATGATTAGTGATGTCTTTGGCTTGGCTTGGCTTTCAAACCCTGGCTTTGGCTTGGCTTTATCCGGCTTTGGCTTGAGAATTCTGAAGCCAAAGCCAAAGCCATGGGGCATGGCTTGGCTTGGCCTGGCTTTGGCTTAAGCCATGGCTTGTGATCACAAGGTTCCCACGGTTGGGGGAGGTTGCAAAAGGTCAGAAAAATGGTTGTATCCACCTACGAAAACGGGCAAGTACCGTTAAATTTATCAAGCAGCCGAGAATATTACTATAAACAAGCGAACACGCACAATCAGACTGTCCTAACGCACGGGAAGCGTCAATTGAACCCCGCATAGTTGTCTACAGTAAGTGCTGGTTTTACTGATTGTATATATGTGAAGTTTCCTGCATTCACAGTCTTCCCAAAAACCAAATGAGGGTCAACTTCTTGGTCCTTGTCATGAAATTAAAAGCCATGGCCTGAGCCCTGGCTTTTGGCTTCTCGGATGTCAAGCCAAAGCCACAGCCAACCTCAAGCCATGGCTTTGGCTTCTTGGCTTCTTGGCTTTAAGCCAAGCCACAGACATCACTAACGATGATCTCTCAACACAAATGACCGGCATATCCAGCATCTTCACGCAATTTGCATATACCTCTCCACTAACATCTGCATGTGCGGTTAAACCCTGACAGTGATTGTTTTGTTCAACTTCAGCAAAAAATAAGTACGAGGGTTGGCCAGGCAGCGCCACGGCCCACGCCCAAGTCCAATACTGCATAATTCTCATAGTGCATAGCGGTCCTCCGAAAACAATCCCAAGAGACCATCTTGCGTAAAATTACGCTGGCTATCACCCCAGCATGCTCCCTTCCAAATCCGGGCTAAAATGACCTCTCAGCAGCGAATTCTTTGGAAGGCGGTCCTCCGAAAACAATCCCGAGAGACAGTCTCGCATACGCGGCCAAATCTGGGTTGAACTGTGCTCTCAGGGCGACTTCTTTGGAAGGCGACGGTGAGTGATGCGCACTTGGCATCTAAAAAATTGGGTTTAGGGAAGGTCTGAAACCCAGAGCGGACATGGAGTTCCCTGAACCAATATGAGAGGCTCCGAATCTCTGAATTCGGAATCCCCGAAACCCGCAGCGGCCGCGGGAAAGTACTGTCCGTGAACGTATATAAAGACGAGAGGCTGCATGGCTTAGCGGTAACCAGCAGTCTTGGTCTCTGAGTAAATCGGAGATCACCGGGCCTCGCGAGATCGAGGGTTCGAACCCCGGTAAAGCCGCATTTAGGAGGGTTCTAGTGGGTATTACCAATCTTGGTCGAGTCCCACACTGTTCGGCATTTGCCGTTCGTGCGTAAAAGCATTCCCGCCGTTTACGGTTGCCAATAAGTCCCAGCTTTGGACTGTTTGGCAATCCTTAATCTTTCATTGCATTTGAGTCGAATATGATCCTCAAACCTTCAACCACTCTCTACCGACTCTACCAGACCCACTGCTCGATTCATGAGCTACCTACCATGTACATCCGCCACCCTCGCCGCCACTTTTCCCTCGCGTACGTCACCGAAGATCGCTCAGCAAGCTCGCATGCCAGTGGCTTTAATATTGAAGGCGAAGGCAATTACTCGCCAAGGCGCAGCCAGAAGGGAAATACAGTGTGTCCTTTGCGCTCTATTCTACGCTGTATCGTTTGGGCCAGCCGTCGGCGCGCGCTCCAAGATCGATGTTCTGTTACCCTGCCCCGCCCAACATGCATCGTCTCCCTCATGATGGTTAAGGTGCCCCACAGCACATATGGGATGGTCGGTGGGCTCGACAAGCAGATCAAGGAGGTCATCAAGCCGCCCGTCAGGCACCTCGAACTCCTCGATGCCCTCGGTATTGCGCAGTGCAAGGGTGCCCTCCCAGTTCCGCCCCGAGGCGCACACTATACAGACCGCAAGTCCATCCGTGCTGGCGGTTGATCATCTCGACGGGTTTCAAGAGCCGTCAAAGGATCTCCAGGGGCCACGACTCGAATTGGTGCGTTCCGACTCCCGATCCTCTCATGGCTTACCTTGTCTGTTCAGTGCCAACAAATCAGATATCCCACTCTGTGCCGCCGAGCTTGGAAAACCACATATCTATTCTCCAGTACTTTCACACCATAGATGCGGCGCAGCGGCTGCCGCTCTCGAGTTTGCGGTTGCAAAGGTGCTCAAGAACCTAGTATGTCTACAATTATTACTGTAGACTTGTTGACGTTGACGTTGACAAAGGCTTTCACAGGCAAGTTTTTACTTTCATCCTTGTCTTCATGCGACGCACAGATGGCTTGCGCACGGCATATTCTTTAGTTGCCTAAGTGACTTTTTTCTGTCCCCGACGGACACGGAAAGGGCACTTAGGCAATCCAATTATTCGCCGTGGGCCATTCCTGTCAACGCCGCCGAAGTGTCCTCGATGTAGTCCCATTACCCTCTCCGGGATGCGCAACTGAACTAACTATATGAATAGTCATAATCTACCTTCGTCTCATAGCAGCACTACCAACTGGACATTGCCTATAACAAGTAAGCAAACTCTTTATTCCCTTCCACCTCGCGCGCCGGCCCATGTTTCGCTCGCTGACTCTACGACAGATGTGTATATGCTGCAAGTATGTCGAGTCCGCAGCAGAAAAGTCTGGAAGCTCCGGCAGGATCTTCTTGTCTTCTTGTATCCGATAGGTGAATGAGGGGTCTTTTCAGCTTTGGAAGTGGAAGTATTCTGTATCTTGCATTCGCTCGCTCCTTGCTTAGAGATTTTCATGTAGAATATCATATTGGATTTTTTCTTTTTGCATTTCGGACCTTGATGTCGTATTAGACGTCGTGGCCAATGATATTTCGTGCAAGTTGGAGACCCTGTCTGGCAGACCTCAAAGATCTCAAGACATTCAGTGATTCACTCAAAGCAGTCGAGCATTGGTAATGTTCCAATTTAAGAAACGTGTCACGTACTTGTCGGTCTCTTCTTTCTTAAATGTCGTCCGAAAGGAAGAAGGGCAAAGCGCGCCAGATTGACGACCCCGTAAAGGATGAGGATTCAGACCCAGACCTTCAGATTATGAAGCGCGGGGCCCGCAACCCATCCGGGAAAAATCAACATGCGCCAGCCCGTCAGTGGCTCAGTACGCCTGAGGCAGCGACCTGTTGCTAAAACAGGGTTTAGCCACAATGGAAGACGTCGGACCCCTTATCCAAGAATATCACTCAAACAACCCCCGTTTCCGATACAAAGATTATGTCGAGGCCTTTGCTAAAGACCACGGTATAAAAATAAGGCATGTCTCTTCCCTCTGCGAAGTCCGGTCCTAAATATCTTTTCAATTCAGCCGTACGAAGCTTACCGGCTTCTTGAAAGAGCTGGAAGCCAGCACCCGACGCGTACTAGACCACTAGGCCAAAAGGCAACATAATCAACAACTGCTTGTTGACTACCGGCGGGCTATATATGCTGTAAACCAGCAGGTTTACACCCTTCCCCTCCATATTTGAGGAAGTGCATTTACAGGGTTACCCAAGGGCTTTTAAGGTACCTCCACCAGCCGCTATTGAACCTGGCCTGGAGTGGGCTCTCCTAACTTGGATACCACAGCCAACCATGAACAAACACGGACCCTGGGAAGGGCTTACCAACCTTGCAACTCAATCACATGATCGCCCGACAATTCGCACCTCGCGAGGATTGAACCCGCAACCTCATGCTTTCTTGTTGTCAGTTGTTGATTAACTGGAAGCCAGCACCCGACGCGTACTAGACCACTAGGCCAAAAGGCAACATAATCAACAACTGCTTGTTGACTACCGGCGGGCTATATATGCTGTAAACCAGCAGGTTTACAAGAGCTGGGGCTGTCAACAACGTCCAGGGGAAACCGTCAGCCTGCCGCTGAGAAAACTCAACTCATCCTAGATGAGCTTGCCAACGACCCTTTACATACCCGTGGTCCCCGGGTGGTCAAGGAAGCCTTAGAGCTTGATGGGCATAAGATCGGACGGTGAGGATTGGAAACTAAACACTGTAATGTTCTCACAATGACTAGCGGCGACGTCACTGGCGTAATGCGGGACTTCCACCCAGAAGGATTCGCCAGTCGGCACCCTCACGCAAAGAAGAAGAAGATACACCGCCAACCCCTTACGTCAATTGGTCCAGACGAGGAGTGGTCGATGGACGGCCATGACAAGTTGAATGCGGCGGGTTTTGGAATTTATGGCATTCGCGACAAATACTCCGGGAACTATCTCCACTATAGAGTGGTGCCGTCTAACAGATATGCTGCCGTTGTTGGGGTTATCTTTTTGGAGTGCGCCAAGAAGCTGGGAGGTCGGTATTCTGAACTCAACTATACTTTGAAAACTAAGAGTTTGCTGGCCAGGTATCCCCGTGCAAGTCTCGACTGATCATGGATCCGAAATTCGAGATGCCTTTGCGTTTCAGACTGCCCTTCGGTGTGCTGTCGCCTGTTTTGTTTTCCATAATAATTGATCTTTCGCACAGAGAAATGTTCGTTCCGGATCTTCTGCATGCGCTGATACCTTCTTGGCAATGCCTTCCAAGCCCCCGGAATATCACAATCGAGTCTGGGTGGCGACCGCTCTTTTATACTTGGGGAGCCAACATTCTGGAGTTTTACAATGCTGGCCTCTTCGACGGCTTCTTTGAAGCAGGCAACCCTCTGCACGAGTGAGACTTCATTTATACACTTTGCCGACGGTGTATTCACCTTCTTTAGGAACACAGCTAGTTGGCTATGGTTCCCGTTGGTTCAACGATCCCTTGACAGGTTTTGCTTGCAGCAAAACAACCACCGCGTCAGAAAACAAACAGATAAAATCCTTCCCAGCGGGGGCAGTCCTGACCAGTTCTATAAAAACCCGACCGCGTACGGAGGAGAGTCGTGCCTGATCCCTGTCGATATGCAGGTTCTTGATGAACTGTTGGACGGGTGTGAAGATGGATATGCAAAAATGCAGTATGTAGATGACGGCTTTGATGAGCTCGCTGAAGCAGCGTACACTGCTCTAAACAAACCGGAGGTTACTGTTCACACTGTTTGGATTGTGTTTCGTGCTATGCTTGGGAAGCTGTTGTAAAATGGGCATGTTTAGCAATATAATATTTGTCTGCAATTTTGTTTCAATTCTCATTCGACGTGCCAAAGATATAGGTAAACAAAAACAGTCTGTTGGCATACATTGAAATACCATAAGAACATCTTTTCATGTCCGAGTACGCAAAAATTCACCGATAGCAAAAAAAAAATCATGATCAAAAGGGCGTCAGCCCAAAGTTAAGGCAGATCTGAGTGCAGACATGGTCCGCTTTGAAAGAGGCAATTCCCTCCGGTCCCCCATCGAATAGTCCGGAGTCCGCCTTGATACTGGAGACCGAAGATCAATGCTGGCTGAAAACGCGGAGAAGCGGATCACTCTACCTGTGGGATACAGGTGCAAAAAGACTTATTGACCCGTCGGCTTCTTTTGCATCTGCAAGTATAGATAATGAGCACGAAGAAGCAGAGAGCCACACTACAAACATTTAAAATTCAGGAGGATCCACTCCTCCCCGGCGTCCACATATGAATAGTGGGAAATGGCGTCGAGCAGTTCCGATGTCAGTTCTCTGATGTCCCCGAAAGGAATGACCGGTTTTGGTTGGCAAATGAAGTGCCCGAGAATAGCTGTCCGTTCTTTGACAGTCGCGATAAAAAGTTCGGGCGTCGAGAAACCTATCATATGGTCAACTTCTTTGTAAAATGACGCATCGAGATTCACCTTGCAGCTCCGGCACATCAGCGATGTACTTTTGCGAGACATCTTGGAGCAACTCCCTGAGTTTATTACCACGGATCATCTCGGCGTTGGCGGCGACCAGTTCGAGCTCGGTGGAGAACCGAAAACCTGCGTCTTCCAGACGGCGCGCAAGATAGTGTTTGCCATCGTGTGTCAGCTGAATTAACTTAGCATCGGACAATATAACACGGGTGCAGTCGGGGTCTGGGCTTTACCTGAAAGTGGGTGCCCATTTCTGGATTCGTGACAGTGCCGGCGTCGCGAGTCCCTTTCATCTCTTCACTGACTTTGGGTGGTGTAGATCCATCGGACTTCGTAAATACAATCGGATATGTGAGAGTCTTGAGACGCAGGGATACAGGAGGGTGAACGGTCGAAGAGCGACGGGACGTAGCTGAAATGTCCTTAGTAGACTGTAATATCGGACCAGGGAAGAATATCATACCACTGGATGATGCCAATGTAATTTCCGTCGGCTCATCCTTGACGGTGTAGTCCTTGGCTTCTAGTTTAACTCGTTTGCTCCGTTTCGGCAAATGCTTGGAGCCTTTACTATTGCGGTGTCGCTTGCCGTTGCTCAGTATGTCGTCATAGAGGTCACCTTCGACAACGATTTCCTCGTCAAGCTGTGCATATGGGTAGGTAAGTAGAAAGCTAGTGCCTGGAACAGAAGAGTACCAACCGTAGCTTCGAGCGGGATCAACATCGAGATTTCTGCAGTGCTGGCGGTTATGCTTGACTTTTTGAAGTACTGTTCATTGAGCCGGGTGTGTACTGTCCAGAAGGATGCAACCGTTGTAGAGCCTGTAGTGTACTCCAGTGGAATCCCGGTCCCATCTTTAAATGTGAATTGTACGATGTCCCTGCCAGTGGACAGCGCAATGTTTAGAAGTGACACCGATGGAGATTTGTAAACTTACCGGGAAAAGGTTTTTCCGGGGAACTGCTGCAGCCACGGACTATCAGGCTCGTTGACCATGTCGACGAGCTTCTGAAAGACATGTTCCATGCGCTATATCTCCCAAATTAGCGAAAGTGGTGACCGACATGATACTATATGATGTACATCCTCCATAGAGAAACCTCTTGACTGTGGCGGAACACGGGTCCCCTGCTTTTGACCACGCTCCTTTTGAAGATAGATGGCGGTCTTGAAGAGAATCTGAGCGGCTTTGGAGGGGTCTCCAGCCCGTTTGGTACCCCGGTTTGCCTCCCGTTTGTCCAGGAATACCCGAGTTCTGCCTGGGATTTCCGAGTCGACACCTTTTGGCGTCAAGCGAAAGGAAGAAGCTTTAGCCTTTTGCTTCAGTATGTTAGTGTTCAAGGCGGCCATCGGAACTTTGGCGGCAACTGCTACGTCCGAATCGGAATCAATGTGTACATCGGAATCCGAGTCCTCGACGCTGATGACCTCCTCCTTCTCATTCTCCTTCTTACCAGGTTTGTCGGGTTGAGGAGCTTGATTTTATTTTAGCTGAGTCCAATACAGTGTGTAAGATATTTACCCTTCTTTGGCGCAGCGGCTTTGTTTTCGCAAGGACCGCACATCGTGCGGCCGACAGGGAAGTATCTATAAACGATGCTGCAATCAACGCATTGCTTCATTTTCTACAAAGGGTTAGGTGAGTCCATCGAAACTGCTGTGGGACATACCTCGACCAAATCAATTGCCTGTTGGTCCCCAGCACATCCTTCGAGTTTTTCGCACTTAAGATAGTTTGCGCGGTCAGAACTAAGGTTCTTGAAAATGAGGCCACAATCAACGCAGCCGGCGCGGGGGGCCATGTAGGGAGATTTCTCGTGCGGGGTTGAATCAGAGAATGAGGCCTGAGAGTCGTAAAATGTTTTGAAGTTATAACTCGCCGACTCAAGCCGGTCACCGTTATTCTGAAACAGCGTTACCACTAATCTGAGATTGTCACCATTATTCTGAGGCGGCCCTGCGTTTCGAGACTATACTTGGATATACACAGAATGGAGAACGTAACACCCGAGCCCAGGTCGATCCACTGAGAAGGAACATATCTCGAGCAATTGATGATATTGGTGAGCCATGTACTACAAGCGTGTAGTTCTCCTCTGTCTGTATGCATAGTGAGATGGCGGCATTTCGAGCCTATAAAAAATACTGGCCCCTACACGTCGACCCCCCTAGGATGTCTCCTCAAACTTGTCAGTTTTATTCAACTTCGAAGGCCTGGAGGACGCGTCGACGCCACTGCGACAAGATTTGTGAGGGAGCATGGCCTATCAATGTCAGCAGAAAACTGAGAGAAGAACTAGACAACTGAAAAGTAGACGAGAAAAGGAAAATGATCGATGCCGGATCAAGCCAAAGCTGGGACTTATTGGCAACCGTACGCCGTTGGTTAGGAGCCTAGGAGGTCACATGTTCCTCCGTCCTTTGCGGACCAAAGGGGCTGATCAATTATCAGTTGCCTGAGGTCACAACAAACGCACCACCAAAAAAAAAAAAAAAAAAAAAAAAGAACGTATATAAAGACTCGGGTTTGTTCCACAATTCCCCGCTGCCTTCCTCTGCTTTTCAATATGCAGTGGCCGTTATTTTCAGAAGACCCCTCCGCGAGCAACTCTGTTGCTCTTCCTCCCATTCGCCGATGGAGCGATCACCATACATAGCAAAGACGACTCGTTGTCAGTGGGGCAGAAGTTCAAAGGACACCGCTCTTCCTCCCATTCGCCGATGGAGCGATCACCATACATAGACTCATTGTCAGTTGGGCAGAAGTTCGAAGGACGCCGCTCTTCCTTAGACAACGAGTCGTCTTTGCTATGTATAGTGATCGCTCCATCAGTGAATGGGGGGAGAGTGGCTGGCTTCGAGAACTGCACTTTTACCTGCATGGTGGTCGGTTCATCGATGCCTGCTCGAGACCACCCCGAGTAGATTTCTTTTTAGACTCTTTTTCCCTCCCTCCTACGTATATCTCCTCATCTATTTGACATCACGACATCTAGT